GCTGGACTTATCAGTTCAGAAACCAACCAACGAACAGGCCAAATATTTAGTCTTTGAACATGAAGTATTGTCGAAAAATATTTATTCGCTCGTTGCTTTATTATTATATAATATAATTTGTGGGATTACGATACATGTTTGCTCGTGTGTGTTTTTTTTCTTTTGGTCCATATTGCTGCTAAAGTTTGTCCCACCGAGAATTTTTTACGATAATGGTCGTGTTCGTTTCTCTTATAATGCGTCTTTTTCAGCTTGTTTTTTCAGCCGGAACACTATTTTTCTCTCACAACAAATCAATCGGAACAATGTTTCGGCTTGTTTTTTCAGCAAAGCGAATGGGACCAATGCTTGGCCACAGGGAAGTGGCTCCTCCTCATCCACTCATAAGCTCTCTCTCAAATAAACAATATCCACTGCGCTTATCCGTCCGTCTTGGCGTGAGCGCGTGGACGCACATCCACCCGCCCCACTCCGCCGTGCCACGCCCTCTTCCACCACTGCGTGCGCGTCGCCTACCGTGCCGTGCCCTTCCTCCCACCGCCTCGCACCCCCATCGTCGGCCGCGCCGCGCCCCGTCCCAGTCACCTGCACTGCTCGCTCCCTCGCCATCCGTCCGTCCCCCATCGCCGTCGCACGCGCCGCTGACCCCGCCATGGCCGTTAGGGCGCACATGCCTTGGCGCCTCAGGTCTTCCCCGGCCGAGCCAAGGGCACCCACGAGCGCGGCCGATGCTAGTGGTGCTTGTGCGCCGCGGCTTGCCGTCGGCTCCCACCACGACAGCTGGAATCGACCGACCCCAGTCTTTCCCTCCCCTATGTTGCAAATGTATGTTTCAACTGTTTCGAGTATTTTTTATGTATGTTGCAATTATTTAATCTAGATATTGCAAAAGTAGATCAGGGAATTTGCATATGTTGCAAGTGTTTCAGAGGCATGTTGCAAGCGTTTGTTCAAAATATTTCATCTGTTTCTAGACGTATGTTGCAATCGTTTTTTATCTAGATGTTACATATGTTTCACAAATGTGTGCAACTGTATGTTCCAAATGTTTCGGTCTTATGTTGCAGCAAGTGGTTTCGTGTTGTAAGTTGCACGTGTTTTATTTGGATGTTTCGTATATTTTATACACATGTTGCAAGTACATGTTCCAAATGTTTCATCTGTTTTGAGACATATGTTGCATTCAAATATTTTTCCATGTTATAAGTGTTTTATGTTGTTGGGCCGGAAGCGAGCCGGGGGCCGGCGGATGGGGGTGCTGCAGTCGGGGGTGCGCTGGGTGTGTGCTCGTCCTCAGTCGCTCATCCCGGCTCCCTAGTGCCGCCCGCACGGAGAGAGGGAGAGGAGGGTTTAGGGGAAGGACCACTGGCGCAGAGACAAAGGCGGAGTGTGCGCGTGGGGCGGAGCGAAGGCGGACTAAGGCACACGTTCGGACGTCCGGTCGCTAGCCACGCCAATTTTTTTTTGTTCGGTCACTGACTACCTTTAGATTCTTCATGGACCATATTGAAGTCATACATATTGAGAGTCAAACTTATTACAGTTTAATTAAAAGCAGAATCATATTTTTGTTGTAACTAGATATATGCCCATGCATTTCACGGGAGATGGCATGTTTTTTTAACTACACCTCAGTATTTGGGTGTAGACGTGTGAGCTCCAAGGATTTTCGTACCGGATGTGGGCACGTGGATCCTGTCTTTGTATTAAAACCGGATAGGACACATGCATGTGTTCTTTAAGTGAAGGATGATTTGTACAGGACGTGGACGCATGTGGAGGAATCGAGATTTGGTACTGAGTAGATTTGGTATAATAACATATTTAACTGGTATGTAACGACAGTTATTTTGGAAAAGAAGAAGATATGCCTGGTAGAGTGGGAGTTAAAGAAACGCCTCATTGCTTGCTCGTGGAGTTGCTGCATGGAGCCATGTAGGGGAGGGCTGAGGATACGCGCGAGCGCTGATGAGTACGAAGCGGCGTAGGAGTCTGGCGCACAAACGAGAAGTCTACACAGGCTATGGCCTGCACGTACACGGAGGAGATGCGGACGTAAGTATCCAGATCGAGCCAGGCGCGTACAAGTACACAGTGCCGATCGAGCAGGCGTGCACACTGAAGGAGTTGACGAAACCTGCCCATATTTTCTAGGCAACGTATTAGGTGTAAATCAATCAATTTGTGTAAACTTGAAAACTACCAATTAGGACCATTAGATGCTGATCTAATGGATGGGGTGGGAGGTGGGATTTTTTTGCGCTTAAGCCCCCCACACGACGGCCTTTTTTTTACGCTTAAGCTCTCTCACCCTATCCATTGGATTAGCATCTAGTAGTCTTGATTGGTAGTTTCAAATTTTCACAAGTTGATTGGTTTGCACCTGATATATTGCCTATTTTTTAGGTGGTATATATATATATATATATATATATTCTACTAGTATAGTAGATAATAATTAAGGTGGTGTTTTGATCCACTGGCAAAGCTACGTTCATGCGTCGGGCTCTAGCGACACCGACGACTTTGCCATTTCACCCTATACGGAGTAATTTTGACCGGCTTGGACCCCAACAAAATTTACGTGAGACCCCAGTGGCCCGGCAGGTGGCAGCCCAACAGCAACAGTCCAAAGTCCATCGATCTGCTTCTGCTCAGCCTATCCGATCCATCAATCCCATACGCCCACAACTCCACATACGTGAGTCGGTGAATGCTAACATGCTGCAGATACGGAGAGTACTTGATAGCCCAGAAGGCTGAACGTCACTTAGCTTCGCACCCAACGCATCCCAAATCTTCCTGGCGGGCGTCGCCCCTACCCGGCGGCCGGCGCTCAACAGCCGCTCCTCGTGGCTCAGTTCATTCTCAATCTGACGATCTTGTGTTCTCCTGCTGTCTACTCTCAATCTTGCCCACACAGCAAATACCCAATTATGCAATTTGTAATGAAATTAACGATCGTTTGAACATTGAGGTCTCAGGGTTTTTATTTTTTTTTAGTACAATCCGAAATCAGATTCTCAGAAGCAGTATGTAACTTGCGTTCAAGCAATGAAGTGAAGAACGTTCTCTTTCATTCCATCCAGCAAGATGCCAGGTATCGATAGCAGTAACTTCTACATTATCCGCATAGCTACTATCTGCTTTAGTTTTTTAACCACAATTCCAATGAAACATGTGATAATTCGCTTTCATAAGATGGAGGATCATAGTCGTAGAGAGAAAATGTAAGAGGTAACTACTGTTGCGAAACCTTATTTTGTCATAATATGCGGTTGTTATTTTATCAATGTCAAGTTATGCATAGTATTATATTATCGGGATCTATAAATCATCAATTAATACTGTTGGGCGAAACCCGCTATAAATTTATGGTGGTACACTACTAAGAGGACATATATAATTTGATAGAAATACATGATGAAAGTTTGTCTAGTTAGTGAAATTTTTTCCCTTACCGTGGTGCATGGGCACCAGGCAAGCTCAATGTAGCTTCGCCCCTGGTACTGTGAGTACCAACCCCCGGTAGCCATTTTCTCCTGGCTTCGCTCCTGTTTAGATCCAGAGTGTAAAGTTTTTGGGTGTCACATCGGATGTTACATGGGGTGTCGCATGGGGTGTTCGGATACTAATAGAAAAACAAATTACAGAATCTGTTAGTAAACCGCGAGACTAATTTATTAAGCCTAATTAATTCGTCATTAGCATATATGTTACGGTAGCACTTTATTATCAAATCATAGACTAATTAGGCATAAAAGATTCGTCTCATGAAATAGTCGTAATCTGTGCAATAAGTTATTTTTTAGTCTATATTTAATATTCTATGTATGTGTTTAAACATTTGATGTGATAGGATATAAAGTTTTAGGGAGGAATTAAACAAGGCTTAAGAAAAGTCACTTTGCATGCGGCCCAGTTTTCGACGCCCTCGCCGCCCTTTAGCTTGTTTGTTTGGCTGTGGCTTGTCGTAAACGATCGTAAATTTCTAGCCGGAACAGTATTTTTCTCTCGCATAAACCAGTCAGCAGTACTTCTTCACAAACCAGCGACGAAACGAACCAGCCAGTCGTGCGCGGCGTCCGCCAGGATGCCGGCTAGGCACCACAGGAGCTGGTGACCGAGAGTAGGGGTGCAGAGCGGCGGGCCGTGGCCGATCCAGCGCGTCGCAGCAAGAGCGTAGGCGTCTAGGGCCGCGTTTAGTTCCGGCCGGATTCGGCGCCGGCTGAAGTCGGTAGCACTGTAGCGTTTTATTTCTATTTGATAATAATTGTCTAATCGTTGACTAATTAGGCTCAAAACGTTCGTCTCGCAAAGTACAATCAAACTGTGCAATTAGTTTTTGATTTCATCAACATTTAGTACTCCATACATGTACCGTAAGTTTGATGTGACGGGAAATTTTTTTTTACATAATGCCAAATTTTGGATTTTGGTGGAACTAGACATGGCCTGGTGTGGGGACGAGCAGCGAGAGCCACTTGTCTCGCACGGCACTGCACACCATCCTGGTCGCCACGAACGGGGCCTGCAGTCCAATGCAGTGCAGACCAGTGAATTGAATCTGAGCAACTACCCATTGTCACGAGAATTCAATTGGCTCAGATCTGCCACTTCGTGCTAGCGACAGCGAGGTAGTACCTCCGTCCTCATAAAAATTCTATGTGTTGCGTGTCATGTAGAGTTATTTATATTTAATCAAGTTTCTAGTGGATAATATTAATATTTATAACAAAACTCTTGTTCGCTCGAACTATTTTAACAGTATATTTCAGCGAATAAATAATATTTTTCTCTCATAACAAATTAGCATAAATCAAATTTTAACGAAACGAACAGGGCCTAAAATTTATTATGAAAATACATTTTCGTAATTAATCTAATGATATTTATTTGGTATTACAAACATTGATAATTTTTTATCTATATAATTTATCAGACTTAAGGTAATAAAACATGACACTATTTTATGGAACGGAGGTGGTACGAAACTTTGATCATCCTTGTCGCAGCGAAATTCCTTTGCTCAAGTTAAGCAGCAGGTTAATCTTTTTGAACTACAGAATTTTGCTGGATATATTACCTGGCATTGCACATCAATCCCTTTGCTTCTATACTCGACGTACACAGGACGTAGTACAACATACCTAAGCTTAGGATGAACCGACGGTGCAGAGACGTACACAGGACGTAGTACAACAGTTACGTGCTTATTGCGATACGTACCTTTTGGTGGCGGCGTAGACGGTGTTGAGTGGGAAGGAGGGGATGGCCTCCGACGACGCGGAGCCCATGTTGACGATGGCTCATGGCTCCCCGCCGGCGCTCCAGCATCCCGGGCAGGACAGCGGCCGTCACCTCCGTCAGGGCCCACAGGTTCACACGCACCATCCGCACCAACGCCTCCACGTCGGCCTCGTGCAGGTACACCATGGACGGCCTTGACATCCCGGCGTTGTTCACCAGCACCCCGACGTCCAGCCCCTCGATCGCCGCTCGGAGCCGCCTCGCGGACTCGTCGCCTGACAACAACCAAGAGAATGAAGCTGATGCAAATGCCCTTTGGCCCCAAACGCTCAGGCACTCGCGCTACGTACCGAGAGGTAGGAGAGGAGGCGGAACAACAGGAAGAACCATGCGGGCGGTGGCGGCGCCTGTTCTGTCATCCTCACAACTCAGCAGAAGCGCTGTCTTTCTCCGTGTTCCTTCCTGCTACGCTTCTCAGTTTTGAGGCTGACTACCTCTGCTGTTACTGTCTCGCCATCGTTCATGACTGCCCCCAACTACCGTCTCTGCTCATAACATCCACCAATGCTGTTACTATTCTCATGGCGTGCAATTGCCCCGGCTGCCACCAACCATCATCCAACCGGCTACACGCAGACACAGGCGTGGAAAACGGACTGATGAATACGCATGTAATCAGATACAAATATCAGTACTTATCATATTTTTTGTCCTATATATGAATAAAAATAAAAATATTTTCGATACGAATATAAAAAGAATAGCTCGTATTCAGATTCACATTTGAATATATATTCAATTTAGGGGTCGTTTGGTAAGGTGAAACAGTTCGGGTTCCTCCCTGGAATGCAAAAATTTTGTTGCCGAACGAATTTAGGCAGAGCATTTGGTTCTATAATCCAAGAGAAACGATTCTCCCTTTTAAACTAGGCATGTAAAGCGCCTCAATCCTGGTTTCGATCGACTCAGTTTCTAGCCTTTTTGTATGCACTAGTGATTGTATTTTTTAACTGGAAGAAGTTAAAATTTGAGTTGTGTTTAAATTGTTCTTCAGCTTTTAAACGTTGAGAATGAAAGTTATTGAAACACAAAATTATATAACATTGTCATGTTAATTAAAGTTATCTTTTATTTCAAAGAGAACTAAAGTTAATACATTTTTCCATATTAACACTAATGAATTGATTATATTAAAATTAATTAATTGTGTAGTATTTATCATTAATAATATTAAAGTTAATATAATTAATAATTAGTTTTTAAATATTTTTAATGGGTACATAATTAGTAGTATTAAAATTAATGTCATTAATAATTACTTTTAAATAGCTTCATTGTGCACATAATTAATACTAAAATTAGTATATTTAATCATTAGTCATATATATGAATAACGTTTACATACTTTCACTTAGTACTACATTCTTGATGGATACAGATAAATATACATCTATTTTCCTGAATACGGATGTGGAATTAGTCCGAGAATGAAAAAATGGTTTTGAATATATGTATCCCATTAGAAATGAATACCAATGCATATATCTATATTTCATATTTTAATGGATACAGATTTGGATAATTATGATTTTGAGACATCCATTTCCACCACATGGCGGTTAGCCAATCCTCTTTACAGCAATATAAAGGACTTTATTATAGTAGTAGTATAATGTGAGAGCAAATCTGTTTATGTGTGGGCGATGCGAAAATTGACAGAACGACATCTGAACTGGTCACGCGCGTGCCCACTCAACAATGAGCTCAACAAAGCTTTTCTACCAGGCATTTTTTTTTGAATTTGTTCTACAATTTTCACGTGCCCTTCGTGTCCCTGTAGAAACTGGTAAGACCACCATTTGTTATTTTCCTTTTCGTGCACCGCGCCGCGCTACAAACTCACTGGTAGCTTTGCTAGTAGAATTTGTGCACTGATGAACCGCCGCTGCCCTGCGGATGCGCTCTGGACGATCTGAGCATCCGGAAGATGGCCCGCTGATGCAGATGCAGCGCTAGGCGATAGGTGTCGCCAAGGATCTCCGGCAGGAAGGCCGCGGCCCACCACTGGAGCTGGTGCACCAGGTTGGGCACGCACAGCGGGCCGTGCCCGATCCAGCGCACCGCCGCGCGGCCGCACGCGTCTGGCCCCACCACGAACAGCGGGAACAGACTGTTCTTCGCCGCGCTGGAGACCATGTTCGTCTCCACGTAGAAGGGCACCTGCAGATTTTTAGACCATGTTTGTCCGATGAAACATAAATCTATCAATATATTGCGTGGTTGATCATCACCTGACATTGAACATCGATTCCTTTACTTTTGTACTCCACGTAAAGGTTTTTCGAGAACACAGCAACATACCTGCGAAAAAAATAGAAAAAATGCAAACGGTAGAAAAAAGAACCAAACTGAAACTGCTAGTACATGTTTACACTATTACAGTACCGTTTGGTAGCGGCGTAGACGGAGTAGAGTGGGAACGAGGGCACGGCCAGCGTGGACCCGGAACCGATGTTGACGACGGCGCCCTCCGCCGCTGAACCATGCCCGGCAGCACGGCGGCGGTGACCTCCGTGAGCGCCTGGAGGTTCACGCGCACCATCCTCATCAGCGACTCCACCTCCACCTCGTGCAGGTACAGCGCGCCGGGCTTGTTCACGCCGGCGTTGTTCACCAGCACGCCGACGTCCAGCCCCTCGATGGCTTCCCGGAGCCGGCGCATCGCCTCGTCCCCCTGCGCCGTCGACACCAGGGAGAGGTCGAACACCACACGCCGTGGCACCTCGCGATCTTGTCGGACACGTCCTGCAGCTTGGCGGGGTCCCGCCGACGAGGACGAGGTTGAGACGCGCGCGCGCCAGCTCCGGCCACACGACGTCTGCCCGGTGATGACGGCATGAGGGTGGCTTTCGGCAGAGTGCGAGGTGGCGAGGAGGCGGAAGAGTCGTTACAGGCGCCGATGGTGGCATAGAACAACCACATCCACGCAGGCATCGTCTATTCTAGCCGTCGTCCGATGCTCCACCGCGTTTACTCTGAACAAGTGTTTGGACGAAATGGGTTTCTTATAACTTCGTCGTCGCAAGCTTTTATGTATTGAACCAAATTGTCTAATCAGTACAGGTTGATCGCATGGGGGTTTTAGGGAGGATCATAAAGTCTTTACTTTATAGTTGGAGCCTAGAGCGTGCGTGATAAACTGACAATGATGTTGTTCCTAGACACTACAGAATCTATTGGTGAATGGGCCTGGTGAAAGCATGGCCCGCTGGCAACGGGTCAGGCAAGGCACAGCATGCCACCGGGCCATGCCGGGCTTGGTGTCTGTCTAACAGCCCAAACACGGCACTATGGACCATTTTCCGAGCCGGGCCGGCCCAAAAAACACTGGCAAAATACAAGGTCAGGCTAGCTCGGAGCCCGTAGTCATAGAAACCCCTCATTCAACCACAGATAAAATGATCATACAAACATAAAAGTCTAGAAGACTACAACACTACAACTACAACAACACAAGTGCCAACTACAAGTCTACATTAACACAATGCGACCAGATCACCAAGACACCAGATCAATATTTCAAAGATGAAAGCCTCAACACAATGTGCCAACTGCCAAGTTACTAAAACAAAAGGAAATTAAACCATCAAACCAAGCAGGAAGCAGCCAAGATGAAGCAAATTTTGAGCTGTTTGTGCACTGCAACCTTATTAAAAACCTTTCTAGGTAAAATTCACGTCTCGTGAGAAACCCTAGAAAGGAAAAATGAATATGGCCAACTCATTCACAAATTCAAATGTTCAAAGTTACTACAAACTTAACCATAGTTCTGTAAAACCTCTGGTGTTACAAACTCGCTATGCACTGATATTACGGCCGGAGAAATAGATCTATTAATATAGTGAGTTAGTTACTTAAATGTGCTAATGAAATCTTAACAAGAAAATACGAGAAGTAGTTTACTTGTTTGGCACGAAAAGTATTTTTTTATAAACAAAAATACATTACGACTTGTATATAGTACTTAAATAAAATTTGGAGAATGATTTTTGTTGCATTTAAAATGTCGAGTAACAAATTATAGTGCTTTAGCCGTGTTTGAAAATATATAAAGTTGACTTGGAAAATGAATTTTTGAGAGCTAAAATGATATATTATGTGGGTAGAAAAATTATGCCATCAGCAAGGTGAGAACGTCATGAGTATGTTAGTATGTTTGTTTCGAGTGTTGATGTGATATTTGTTAGTTTAAAAATTAGTATAAAAAGAAATGAAAACGGAAAAACCTAGTTTCCAGTTGTGTCGATGAAATAATGGTTTATGTAATTATCAAGTAGGATTGAAAACCAATTTTTATTGAGCAAAAATATTATAGAACGTGTGTATGACACCTAAATAAAGTGTGAAGTACAAATTTTGTAGATGACAATGCAACTCTTGCTATAAAATAATAACATTGCTAGCTAATAGTTCTAATAGCTCCGAAATGGAGCTTAAAACCAAATTCAACTCAAGGTCAATTTTCAAGTTTCAAAATAGTATGACAATGATAAATTAGAATTTAAATTCTGATTAAAATTTTTAAACACTAGCATTATGTTTTGGCACTATTAATTGCACCTTTGCGGGTACCATAGCATGGTATAGTTCGTGGGGTGGTTTGAAGTTGCGTTGTTGCTCCAAAAATTGCCCCTAACCTCCTTAGATCGCGCTGTGAACCGTGTCATTGGTGCTCTGTTGGTGAACCGGCACCTGTAGCGAGCGATCTCAGCCGCTCACCTCAACTACCTCGGCCCGCTCGCTCTCTCCCTCGTCTGCTCTGCTTGGTGCCGTTGCCGCCTTTGGATGAGCGCAGAGGCGCATATAATGCGATACTCCCTCGTGTCCTTGCTCGGGAGTGCCTTAAAGGATGATTGTCGAGCTGCTGCTTGCTCTTCTTCCTCCCTCCCTGCTTGCCTCGCCGCTTTTCTCCGCGCCCCGCAAAGACCGCTGTGGCCATGCCCGTCCGTCGCAGGCCCCTCGCGAGCACGCACGAACCCCCACGTCCCCGCGCTGGACATGCAGCCCCACAACGCTGCACCTCCCGAGCGCCTTCTTCGCCGCCTCCCCTGCCAGAGCCGCGTGTGGCCGCCATGCCGTGCTCCGCCTCGGTCTATGCCGTGGCCAGGCCAAGCCCAGTCGTGGCCCACGCACCTCCCCGCGCCGCTCCATCTCCGTTGCCGCGCCCTAGCCACGTCCTGAGGCTCCCCTGGTCGTCGCTACCGCTGTCCTTATCGCTCTGCTTGCGCCGTGGACATGGGGCGCGAGCCTGAGCTCGGCCACTGCATGGCGGGTGCTCCACCGGCCGCGCCGACTGAGCTGTTGCCGCCCACGCGTGTCGCCGGAGCTGTCGATGCCCCCATGCGCCGCCCCACCGTCTTCGCCAGCCAGGAGTCGCCGATTGCGCCGCGGCCCCGGCCAGGCCGCCCTGAACGCCGCTGCCGCCGTCCTTATTGCTCTGCTAGCGCCGTGGACATGGGGCGCGAGCCCGAGCTCGGCCACTGCATGGCGGGTGCTCCACCGGCCGTGCCGACTGAGCTGTTGCCGCCCACGCGTGTCGCCGGAGCTGTCGATGCCCCCACGCGCCGCCCCACCGTCTTCGCCAGCCAGGAGCCACCGATTGCGCCGCCGCCGTCGTGCAGCCGCCCGCCGCAGCCACCGCGCGCATGGACGGGTCACTGCCGACTACGCCCGTCCATGCCGCCATGACCATTGCCTCCGCCAATTCCTCCTCTCCATTTGGCGCACGTTGGCCGAGTTGGAGATCATCGGAGCTGCCCCGACGTCGGGCCGTCACTGCCTCTGTTGTACGTGCATGCGGTCACACCACCGTGGGCCGCCTCCTGGCTAGCCATGCCCTACCTAGGAGAGCGCGCGAGGCTACCACGGCCCCCGCGATAGCACCGTCGGCGGCGAACCGCCCCATCGGCTAGCGGAGTGCCTCCCTGTTCGTTTGTCTTATAATCCGTACTTTTTGGCTTGTTTTTTCAGCCGGAACAATATTTTTCTCTCACAACAAATCAGCCGAAACAGTATTTCAGCTTGTTTTTTCAGCGAAGCGAACGGGGCTACATTGGTTCGCAAATCGCCAGGTGATCCGGTACAACTTGTCTTCAATCTAGCACCGTAGTAAGAACTGGAAGATGAAAAATGGTAAAATAATTCTGATTGCTTACCACCTGCTTGAAAGTAGCACATGTGCTTACATAGAATGGTTAGTTAATGAACTAATGATGACTGCTAATAAAATTAAATATAAGGACGCACATTTAGTAATGCTCCTGCTGATGCAATAAACCTACAAGCCAGATAGCCTAGCATACCCATGGAGTCTTTTCTTTTCTCCTGACGGGTAGGTCTTGATGAGTACAATTGAGTACTCAGGGTTTTATCTCCCCCTGTTGCAGGTGACAGACGGATGTTAGAGCTGACTCTTGTGTGTGGATCCCTCCTGGCGGGCTCAGAGAGGATTCTTTTACGCTACGATCATAGTTTTTATTTATAACTCTCACTAAATGTTTTTATAAATAGAAGTTTCATAATCTGTTGTCATAGTTTATACATCAATGCTTCATCATGTCATGAATAGCTATTTATTTCTGCTGTAACTCTGATCACATGTTTATATTTCGCTCTTAAATTAAATTATTCATAACTCTGATAACATGATCATATTGCGCTTATATAAACAATAAATATTATACTATGATGTTGCATGAAAAGTGATGTAAGAAATGACTTAAGAATGTTGTAAGCTTTATTCTCTCATTTGTGATTCTGATGGAAAAATGTGGAGTTTTGGGTTCTCTCTTGGGGTGTGCCCGACGGAACTGCGTAATTTAGTGTTCTCCCTCGAGTACTTAGTGTCTAATGGAAGACAAGTACTCCTGTGAGGCATTAGATTAGGTGGTTCTGCCACAGGTGGTATCAGAGCATAAATGAGGAAATAAAGCTACAGAACCTATTTCTAAAATAAAACTTGACAACAAATTCTTTTCAAAAAGTTAGGATGTTGCATGCGAAGTTATATAAGTAGCCCTATTACTATGGTTATGTATCTAGGATAGATGACACTCTGCTGACTTAGGTAGGCTTAATCAATTTTTCTGCAGGTATATTGACCCCGAGCATAGTTCGATAGTATCGACTAGCTATAGAGAGAGAACGATGTGCCAAAAATCTGAGAACAGTTGCCCTATATGTTGGCAACAATAGAAGGACGTATAGGATGTGCATTCATGCATATTCTGATTGTGCATTGTAGTGCCCGTATTGCTTGCGGATACGCCATCCATATGTGTCACACGTGTCGTATTGTGCACGACTGACTCGTTCCTGTTCTGGAGTTATTTCTGCACTATGGCTTCGTGCTCCGTGTTCGCCTGTGATTCACACCGGTTGTGACCCACGTCTCCCCATACTCTTTTATGCGCTCTCGTTGGACCCTTGCCCTACAGTCGTACTAGTTATTAATGGCCTCGGACATTGCTCGCCTCGAAAGCGCGAAAAATTTGGTCGATTCATTCATAGTGATCCTACGCAGGAACCTTGGTGGACCGCACCCGGACCACTGATTGCTCTGCCTTTATAAGCAGGGTCTGGCTTAGTAGTTGGTACCACCACTCGGTGCACTCTAGCTCGCCTAGCTTTTTCTTTTGAGCAAGCTTTTCGCTCAATCCTTGC